CCGTGCCCTTCCCCGACTCCCCCCGCAGCTCTGCGCGCGTGCTGGCCTCTCACCATCCGCGGGCGGCGCCACGGCGGCGGCGGGGGCGGCGCCCGCGGAGGAGGCCCGCGCCCCGTGCCCTCCTGCCGGCAGGCGCCCAGGTGGCCCGTCGTGCGCGAGCGTGGGCAGTGCTCCCTGCCCGTGCGGCAGCGGTGCGGGCGCCTGCGCGCAGCAGCGCGAGTGCGCGCGCGCGCGGACGATCTGGGCGATCGAAGCGGGTACGGAGAGGTGCTCGTTTTTTATAGGTGGTTTTGCCGATCGGCGCGGGCCCTCGCACCCCTCCCCCCTCCTTCCCCCCCCCCCCTGGAGTGGATCTCTGGATCTCTTGGCTGTGTTTGGCGCCTGTTTCGAGCAGGTGGAATCTCCCTTCAGAGGGCCCACTGCTGCAAGCAGTCGCACTAAACAGAGGTCTGGAGCCAGACCCATTCCTCCCGCCCTTCCGCCCAATGTGGAAATGCCGAATAAGAAAACGCTCACAATTAGACCGACGAGAGTTCCTGCCCATTTTGAACAGGACTCGTTGCTGGTGTCGCCGCGGATGGTGCCCATTCGAGGCAGAAGGCCGCCTGCCTGCCCAACAGCGGCTGCTGCCGATTATGGATGGCACGTGATGCTGGGCATCGTGCCCATTTGTACGTGCAAGTTTCGGGCGTCCAAAGGCAAGATGTTCGCACCTCGCGCGCGCGCCTCCAGCGAGTGCTCGCGCGAGTGCTCGCGCGAGCGCAAGCGCCGCATCGCGCTGCGCCTGCATGCCTGTTTTTCCAAGCGAGTCTGCAGCTCCTTCGTGGAGCACTCCCTGCTCTCTGCCACCAGTTTACCTCCGCCCGCTCTTTCCCGCTGCCGTCGCCCCGTCAGTCTCTCTTTAACTCAGCGGCACGCCGAGGGGGGAAGTGAGAGGGGGCAGGCCTTCTCAGCAAACGGCGAGGCTTCCCAGAAGCCCTCCGACTTTATGAGAAGCCAGTTTTGTCTTTGGAGAAGGCTTATACTGTTTTTTCTGTTTTCAGAAGGCCAGATGCCTGTCTGGGCCTTCTGAAACGCCCCGCCCCCTCTGCCTTCCCCCCCGGGGCGCGCCGCCGATTCCTCCCCGTAGGAGGAGCGGCGATATCCCGACAGCTGCTTCTTCGGCAGCACCGTCCTGGTTGCGAAGGACGCCCGCCCTCGACTGCTGGCCACCCGTCTTCAAGAGAGCGCATGGGGCAGGACAGACGGCCCACCTGAGGAAGGAACGTACAGTCAAGACGCTGAATTGCGGACCACTTTCAAGGCAGGGGAATCCATGCACCGACATGGCTTTTTCAACGTTGATCGGGCCCTGAATGAGCCGAGCTCCTTGCGAAAAAACGCGCACGGTATCATCTCAGGAGGGGAAAAAGCACACGGACACAATTAATCGTCGACCCCCCAGAAAATATAGGAAAGTATGGGAAGTGTGGGGGAAAACGAGAATACAAGCAATATGGAAAAGCATGGGGAATCCTGTTATTTGTGTGTATTCATTTGTGTGTCCCTGGGCCCTTTTGTCACTACTCGCGCGCCCCCCAGAGCGCCGTGGGCGCTGCTTCCGCCCCACTTGGGTAGCATGCAGCGCGTTGCTTCGGAGAGCCGGTGCCGCGCAGCCGCTTGCAAATAATTGGGGTCGAGGCGTTGGTCAAGGAATCCGCCCAGGAGGCTGCAGACCCTGCAGGATTCCTTCTCCGATGGGGGCGGCGGCGATATCCGTGGCCGATCCGCGATTGGAATCCCACTGGCTTCCAGACCTTGGGTTCCTTATCTGAGGGTTCCTGGTCCAATGCCCCCACCGAATGTGCAACCAGCATCGGGTGTCCTGTCAGGGTTCCCCCCCGTTGGCTGACCACCTCGGTGCACGGATTTTCGTTTTTCCAGACAGGGCGAATCCATGCACCGATGCGGTTTGGGGACTTTCTGTGGACGACGCTGTTTTGGTCTGGCGGGGCTGCCTGGTCCTCCGTGTGACGCATGCGCGCGGTTCACGCAGGCGCGCCCCGATGGCGGTGGCTGGGCGCCAGAGTCGATGCAGGCCGCATATGTTATTCCTGTGGCCTCCCTACGTATGTTGTTCCTGGTGCTGGCGGACATGGCTGACGCGGCAGAACCTCCTGCGACCATGTCGGTCGGCGAATCGAATTAGAAAGCCCAGGGTTCGCGAGGATTGGTTCCCCCCACCCAGCGACGAGAACCCTTCCCAAACCCTCGCGAAACCCTCCGAAGAGCCTCCCAGAACCCTTCCGGCAGGGTTTTCGGAGGGCTTCGGGAGGGTTTCGGCCGTTTTGAAAGAACGGCAGCCCCTGGCGAAGCCAAGACTCTGTAGGTACAGAATCTGTATAGAAACCCTCCACAGAACTTGGGGCTCAGGAGGGGCGCCGGTGTGCGGGCCGTTCCTGGGATATCCCGGGTCGGGGGCCCGGGTCGCGGCCGCGGCACCCCGTGCCAGAGCCGCACCATCCCTTGCCCAGTGGTCTTGTTGGTGTCACGATGACGGGTCCATCGGCCAATGGACCTGAGGACGTCGTCACCATCGACAACGTCGTCGCCGTCGTCATCATCAACCGCGTCGTCCTCGTCGTCGTGGTCGTGGTCGTTGGCGTGGTCGTGGTCGTGGTCGTCGTCGTCGTCGTCGTCGTCGTGGTCGTGGTCGTGGTCGTGGTCGTGGTCGTGGTCGTCGTGGTCGTCGTCGTCGTCGTCGTCGGCCCCGAGGAGTCAGCACATCGTGCCCTCGCTCCTCTCCTCCCTGCCCGCCACCTCGTGCCCCCTGGCGAATTGGATTTGCGTGCATGCAGGCCTGCCAGCCTCAGACGTTCTTTCGCCAGAGCGCTGGGCTGTTCCAAGGCGTCGCTGAATTCTTGACGTCTGTGCCAGATATTGGCGGGCTCGGGGCGAGCGCGGCTTTTGGGCCGAAGGCTCGAGCGAATCTGGAATACACTGCCGTGGGCCCTCGAAAAATTCGGCTCGGTGTACCTTTGTTCGCCACGCACGGGCTGTGTGCAGGAGGAGCGCGGGAACAGTTTGGGTCGCGCGTGGGCGACGCCCAAATGGAGATCCGAGCATGTACGCTGAAGCATGCCTGATCAGCTGGAGTTGCACAGCTCTTCCCCGCAGTCGACTGAAGCCGCCACAGGACGTCGCATATGGTGGTGGGCGTTGGTTAAGGAACGTGCACGGGAGGCGTCAGACCCTGGAGGGTTCCTTATCTGATGAGAGTGGCGGTGATATCCATCGCCGATACACGACTGGCTTCCCACTGGCTTCAAGACCCTGGATTCCTTACCCAATGGTTCCTCATCCAATGCCCACACTGTATAGCGTTTCGTGCCCGTGGAGCGTGCGCGCCGTGCCGTGCCCAAGCTGTTCGTGCCGTGCGCGTCTCGCCACGCGTGCCGTTCCGTGACAAATTGTGCCGTGCCCCGCTTGCCGCGCCGTACGGGCGAAGCCGCAGTGTGCGTGACGTGGTTGGCGTGCGCGTCGTGCAGTGTCGTGCAGTGTCGTGCAGTGCGTGCAGTGCGTGCGGTCCTGTTCTGAGCCGCGCCGTGCGTGCCGTGCCGTCGGGTCGTGCCTCATGACTCTGCGCTCCTGGCACAGCAGCTGGTGGGGCAGGAAGGGAGAGGGGGGTGGAGGCACGGCGGAGTGGAGTGCAGGAGTGGAATGGCAGGGGGGTGAGAGGTGGTGGAGGGAGGGAATGGAAGGGGAGCGGATGTGGACAGGGGAGGGGTGAGGGGTGATGGGCGCGGGCGCGGTGGGAGGGGGTGCGAGTGGCGCATCCCGAGCGTTGTGCGCTAGCCGTCACGCCGCTCGGAGCCAAAGGCTGCGCCAGCAGGGGGGAGAGAGCCCGCGCCCTGATCGCGGGGGCCCGTCGACGATCCCGTGCAAGAGGCAGCCCAAGGGCATGGGCCGTGGGATGCAGACCCTCCCATCTGCCCCTGTCGTGCAGTGTGGGGCCATGATGTCTCGAAGATCTCCCTCTCCGTTTGCATGACTACTAGCAGCTGGAACAAACGAGATGCTACGCGAGCGGGGGGCAGTGGAGGGAGAGGGCACGGGACGTTGCAGGGGGAAGGAGAGACGGAGGAGGATGATGGGTGCGGGAAATGGGAGGGGGAAGGGTAGAGGCATGCGGGGAGTCGAGAGATCTGAGGCCTGGTCGCGGAGGTGGTCGCGTGTATGATGATGGTGCGTGGTTCTGCGCGCCTCGCTTCTCGCGTGCGCGCGCAGACACGGGCCAGATGGAGAAGAAGTGCGGCAATCCTGAGAACTGTTGCTATGGGCCCCCAAGTGGAGATAGGCTTGGGATTGGGAGCTTGAAAGACAGCCCGAACGGTGGCGCCGCGGGGAGGAGCCTCCCCGAGGCGAACCTGGAGAGTTCCCCGGGGGACTTCTCGGGGACGTCTGCGGGACACCTCCAGGGCCTGATCCTGGAGGTGTCCTGGGAGGGTTCCTGGGACTGGCTGCGGCGTCACCGCCGTCCTCGGCACACGTGCTGGCTCGGTGCTCCATTTTTCCACCGTCGGCTGCCGCTGTCTGCCCGCGTGTTGCCCCGTGGCGATGCCGCGTCGGCTCGTGATGCCTTGCTCGGGCGTCCTGGAGCATGAGCGTATGCCCCGTGGCGCGCTCGTCGCTTCGACCTCGACTCGAGGAACAGTGTCTGCATCAGCGCGTGTGCGTATGTGTGTGGTGTTAATGTGCAACCTGGACTGACCTCATAGCTGTGGCCACCAGCGCACTCCTCGCGCCGAAGACTCTCAACGCTGGAGGCCTCCTCCCGCTTTCTTCCGCCGCGGCCGCACTCCTCTTCCCCTGGCTTGCTGTGTGTGTGCCCGTTTTCTGGGCGCGGCCCGCCGGCTGCCCGAACGCGTTGTGTGCTCGCCCTCTCCGCTGACCAAAAGGGTGTGTGTGGGTGTGAGGAGAGGGAGACGAAGGGAGGGATGGGATGGGATGGGATGGGAAGGGTACGCCGTTCTGCCATGGCAGCGGGGCCCGTGGTGTATTCGCTCCCCTTGAGCGCCTCGCCCGGTCACGCTCAGGACCTCAGCGAGCGCAAGCCGCACGGGAGGATTTTGATCTCGAAGAGTGCGTTCGCTCGGTTCGACTATGACGCAGAGGCGTCGATACGCGCCACCTCGGGGGGTCATGTGTGACCCGTGTCGCCGATCAGCCACATCTTTGGATTTCTGTCGTGATGTCTATAGGGTGGTTGTGGTGATGACACCAAGGCAGTGTGAAGACGAGGGAGAATGTGAGAGATGCGAGGGCCTCGACGACCAGAGCCGCCCTGCTGACCTTTCATTCCCGCATTTCCGGCGATGCAGGTCATGTTGACGTTGTCGCCGACAACGACGTAAACAACCATGGCGAACGCGGCAGGGAAAAAGCGGGAGACGACAGCGACAGTCATACACTGAGCTTGCTGCACCGTGCGGCCACCCCGCCCCCACTTGCCTCGCCTCATCCTCGCATGCCATCATGCCCTTCTCACTGCCCCTCCCTGTTCACACTGCCCCTGCCAGTTGCTCGTGGCCCCCCCTCCTCCCCTCTCCCTGCCTCTGCCCGCCCCTGCGGCCCCTCACCCCATCCTCCTCCCGCTGCTCCTGCTTTGCTCCCCCCTCGCCCCTTGCCCATTGCCCGCGCATTCTGCACTCTGCCTGCACTCCCCGTTTGCCTCCCCATGCCGTTCCAGGCGCTTTCTGGCATCTTCTGGCTTAGCCGCTTGGGTAACTAGCGATATGCTGCGTGTGCCGGATGTTGGGGTCGGACGTGCGCCTCCAGCAGAAACACATCGTCCTAATATGTCCTGTTGCGCCCCAGCCCCGCCCGGCCCCGCGCCCCGCCCGGCGCCCACCCCTCTGGCACCACACTGAGCGAGGAGGAGCGGGTTGCGGAGATTGCCTGGGATGTCCGTCTCTCGGCGGCCAGGCCACCCACACCCCCCTTCCTTCCTTCCCCTGGAGTAGATTTTCCTTCACCCCCCCCCCTCCCTCCCCTGGAGTAGATCTTGGGTGTTTTGGGCGCCTAGGCTGTTTCGAGCAGGTGGAGCCTCCCCCATAGGACGCACTGCTGCAAGCAGTCGCATGCAGCAGAGGTCCGGAGCCAGACCTCCCCCCCTCCCTTTGTTCAGAGCGTTGGGATTTTGTCAGCATCGTGGTTCTAGGCCGCGCCGCATCGCTGATGCGTCGGCGATGCGGCTTAATGTGAAGACCGATTTTCTCTACGCCGATGGCGCTCACGCAGTGCCGAAGCTGCTGATGCATCACCGATGCATCGGCGATATGCCGGCGATACGGCGCAATCCTCGGAGCCCATCTACTCGGACCCCAGTGGGTGGACCTCTTCCTGCTCCTTCGACCCGATCGATTTGGGAGGCCTCTGGTGGCTTCTGCTCGATCCCCTCTCCCCGCCGCCCGCCCGCCCACGGCGGCGCGCCAGGGGGACGTGCGCGCCCGCGGCCTGTTCCTCTGCGCGGGGCCGGAGCCGGCGCAGTGGCACTCGGTGGCCACCACGAGGGCCCCCGGGGGGGGGGGGGTCGGGGGCCGCGAGAGGGGGGCGGACAGGCGCAGGGATGCTGGGGGGGGGTGAGGCATCCGCCTCGAATCGCCCAGTGATCGCCGAGGGGGGCTCGATAGCCCGGTGTCGCGGGTGTGCTATCGGAGATCTATTGGGAACCCCCAAACCGGGTGGTGAGATACCAGGTGGCGACCTGGAATCCCCAAAAAGGTCACCGCTGGGTTTGGGGACGCGGGGTCACCACCGGGGTTTGCGACTCCTGGACCCACCAGTGTCCGGGACATCCTCGGAAAACCGCACGAGTGGTGACACCAAATCGCCCGAGACTCACCGCCAGGTGTTGTCACCACCACGTTTGGGGACTACCAAATCCATTGTCGATCTATCTCCAGCAATGGCGAAGCGTCCTATAGCTCGCCTGTGGGCCTACCAAAGAGTGTTCTAAGAACCTTGTGTTTGCTCTGCACGAAATGCTTGTAGAACAGTTCTGGCCGAGACTGCTTGTTTTAACACATCGGGCTTATGTTCTAAGAGCATTGTTGTTGTTATTAGAACAACTCTGGGTTCTAAGAACAAGTCGCGGTAGGCCTATAGGAGTGCCAGGACGGTCCGTCCCTGCTCAACTACCGGCGATGTACTGTGTGTGCTGGTCCCCCCCCTGACGTTGCACCTCGGGGTTTGGGGGGGGGGGCGACGCAGTGGTACGCGGTGGCCTCGAGGGCCCCCCGAGGGGGGGCGCGTCGGGGCTTGCTGAAGGTGTCCCTGGCCCAAGGTGTCCCCACACTACCCTGGAACAGGAATGCAGCTTCAATCGTCGCTTCGTGTGTTTCCGTCTGCTTTGGTTTTTCGTCGTTTTTGCTGTCCAGGGGTTGTTTTCGGGCCCCGGGACAGTCAGAAACGGTCCCAGGATGAAAAATTGCGCCCATGGAAGTCCCTCGGACAGTTCTGCGGCATGACCTGCTCAAGTTGTACTAAAATGGGGGAAGTGAAGAAGCCACCCTTCTCGTTGGGAAGGGGCTCCGTGTCCCTTGATTGTTTAACAGTTTGCCTCAGGTTTTCCTGAGGTTTTTCATATGGGAAGTCGAAGTTCAACTCGTGGGAAGAAGGGGCCTCGTTTCTTCTTCAGGGTTCCTTAGGTCAACGCCCCGACTGTACTTTCCCATCGGGTGTAGCATTCTGCTCCACCTGGGGTCCTGGGGCCCTCTGGGACGGGTGCTCTGGACAGGCCGTGGGGTGCTTCCTTTGGGGGGCACCGCAAGGCTGAAGTCGGGCATGTCCCTCTACAGGAGGAGTACTCGATAAGATCTTAAAGTAATAGTGTGGGGACGATGCTTTGCGTTTTAGTTTGACTATGTTTGGGCATGTGTTGAGTATGTTTAAGTTTTCGTCCAACATCCGCCTGTAGGGGGACATGCCCGACCTAACGCAAGGCTTGGAAATCCTGGGGGCAACTTCAGCCAGTGACACTTCTGGTAGCACTCGAGTGGGGCGGGGACGGGGCAGGCAGGCAGCTCCCTGCTCGAGCAGCCCAGATCTTCAACAATAGGTGCTCATCAATCCTGGCGCCTCTTTATCTGTACTTCGGTTCTCGGGGGATGTTCTCGGGCCCAGGGACCGTCAGAAACAGATCTGGGATGTGGGGCGAAGAACTGTTCCATTATGAAGCGGTCGGGAGTTCCGATGCCGCGGCTTGAACAATCCACGTTCCATGTCTGAGGATGTCTACGAGGGGCTTGACCGCCAGGGGGGGGGGGCGGGATGCAGAAGCTTCCCCACTACAGGCAAGAGGAGGCGGAGATGCCCATATTCCGCTGCTAGTCCTGGGAGGGTCACGACCGCCACATCGGATTCTCATCGAAACTCCGCCATTCACACCGAGAGAGGTCTGGAGAGTAGCGCTTTGCGTGCGAAACACAGTACGCCCGTAGTCGGAGACGCCTGCCCCAGTGCGGCTGGAAACTTTACGCCCTGACGTGCGACTGACGGCTCTCAAGTACACAGGAGAGCACCCAGCCAGTAGAATTCCAGGCATCTGCCAAGGAACTCCACGCCTGCCAGTTTTCTCTCACATGTGTTTATCTGCATCCGCTTCTATGTTCAGTTTGCGTAATCTTTCTCTTAACGTGCTCTGTACTCAACGTGTTCTGTAATATGTATATATGGTAGATTAAACATCGTGAAGCGAGGAGGGGAGCGGGCAGGCGGCCGCACCGCGTTCTTCGCGGCCGTACTGCTCAAGCTCCGAGGCCCCAGGGGCTTCCGAGCGGAGGGGGCGGGCCGTGGATGGACCCCGGTGGCCTCATCCTCCGCGGGGCGACGCGGGGGTTCGCCGCAGGCGCGGCGGCCTGGGGCGCCGCTTGGGGTGCGCAGTGCCCAGCGTGCCCCGCCCCGCCTCCGTGCCCGCCCTGCACCTGCACCTGCGAGCCGCGGCTCGCGTGCCCAGGCGGCTCAGTGTCGGAGGTCCCGCGGCCCGAGCTGCTGGGTGCTAGCCTTGCGTGGCTGGCCAGCCTTGCCGCGGTGGGCGCCGCTGGCTGGGCCTCTGGCAGGCGGGCCGCTCCTGCGACATCAGGGGCCCCTGCGTCGGCGGACGTCCCTGCGCGGCCGCCCACGGCGGCCTTGGAGGCGCCGGCCTCAGCGGCGCAGCTGGCGGCGGCTCAGGTGGCTGCTTTGCGAGCCTCGAGGCCCCAGCTGACCCGCTAGCATGGCGGCGGCGGCCGCTGCACGGCATCCGATCGCCGCCCTGGGCCTGCAGGAAGGGGACTTCATCCTGGTCGAGTACGTTGGGTACGCTAACGTGTGGCACGAGCGCTTGGTGGTGCTCGCGCCCGACGGCTCGAGCCTGGCGTGCACCCTCACGCCGGACGACGACAGCTACGAGGAGGACCTATTCGCCGCCGCTGAAGTGCGGCGCTGGCTGCCGTGCGAGGGCGGACGCATGGGCGCGTACCCTCCAGCGGCTGCTGGGATGCACGTGCACGGCTTCAGGGGCGTCCCCGCGCCCGCGCGGGTCGCGCAGGTGCTGGCCGCGGGAGCTGCAAGGATGGGAGTCGCCCTCGGCGCTGAGGACACGGTGGTGCCCAACCTGGTCGGCGCGGCAGGCGGTGCCCGCCCTCGGCCTGGCGCCGCTGGCATCGCGCCGGCCGGAGGCGCAGCGGCAGCGGCGCTCGCCGCTGGTGGCGTGGGGCCGCCCGCTGGAATGCTGGTGGCCGCCCCCCCCGCGGCGCCCGCCGCCGGGTTCGGGGGGCCCGCCGTGGCGGCTGGGGTGGCTGGCCTGGCCGCCGCGCTCGCTGACGGCCCAGCGGCGCCCGGGGCAGGCGCCCCGGCGCTGGCAGGCCCCCCGCCGCCGCTGGTAGCGGCGCCCGCGGCTGCAGGACCAGCTGCCGCCGAAGGCGGCCGTGGGGCCGCGGCGGCTGCGGCCGCGCCCCTGGATGCTCGCATCCTGCCCGTCACGTACGACCTGCAGGGCCAGCGGCACGCGGACTACCGCAGCGCGGTCATGGGCATGACCGAGGGGGCTTTCCCCGATTGGCCAGTCAGGGGGCCGCGGACGGCGCTGTGGGTCCTCAAGTTCATGGAGGCTCACGGCGGCACTCCCACGGGCCGCCACTCGCGCTGGCTCTCGGAGACGCGCTTGCAGGGCACCGAGCCTGGCGTCGACGAGCACGAGCGGGCGTGCAGGACCCTCGAGCGCATGGTGATCTATGACCAGCTGAATGTTGCGAATCTCGCCTCGGGCGAGATGCTGGCCAGGTCGGTGCAGCTCCAGGAGGAGCGCTACAGGGACCGCGTCGCCCCGGCAGCCGACTCAGGCAGCCTCGACGCACACGTGCTGCTCGGTACTGACCAGCTGCGGGGGAACGCGTGCGTCGCGCCGATGCTGCAGGACCACATCAAGGACGAACTCACGAAGATGAATTCCTACAGGAAGGAGCAGCGCAAAGCCAGAGAGGAGCGCGACTTGGCCCGCAAGAAGAAGGGGACCAAGGGCGACAAGGGCTCTGGCAAGGATGACAAGTAGCCTCGGAGCGGGGAGTGGAGTTGGGCGCCCGCCCCCGCCATCCAGCCCATCGGGCCCTGACGCCTCGGTTGACGGGCCACCTCTGCCCTCGCGCCGTGCGGAGCCAGGAGGGCGCCAGCGGGACATCTTCCCCTTGCCTTTCTTGGGCCACCCTCGCAAGGGCTCCAGTTTTGTACGCAGTCGCCGCGGGCACCGTCAACCTTCTGATGGTGCTCCTTGGCAGGACTGGGCCAACGACGCCATCGACGTCATGAACGCTGTGTGTGCCCCTGAGGCCCAGCCGTCAGCCCTCGGAGTTTCTGAAGGCCAGCGGGCGTCTCTCGCGCACATCCAGTCCACCTTCGCCTGCCTCGAGCCGCTGGCTGAGGGCGAGGGCTTTCCCGAAGGAGCGCTTTCGGATCTTCTCTCTGGCTCCCCGCTGTACGCCACGGGGGGGCCTCGCCGACCCTACTCGCGGGACTTGATCTCGTGGCCCGACGTCGGCGACGACCCCATGCCTCTCACCAAGGTCGTTGCTGGCCCGGGCGCTCAGTGGCTTAGGGCATGGAGCTCGAGCATGCTGCGCGGTCGCGAGGAGGCGGACGCCCTCCTGCAGCAGGTATGCCCTCGCGGGCCGCATGTCGACCCCAACCTTGCCTTCTCTCCGGCGACGTTCGCCGACTTCCTTGCTGAGATGTTGAAGCGGAAGATGATTTGCTTCCAGGCGGAGGGCCCTCGTATCAAGCCGATTGGAGTCTTCTGCGTGGCAAAGAAGAGCAACCGTCTGAGGCTGGTCTTTTTGATACTCGTACTGCGAATGCGTACTTCACGGACCCCCCAGCCACCACGCTGCCGAGTGCTGCCGCCTTCTCGAACCTGGAGGCGCCAGGTGGCAAGGTGGTCGTCGCGGCAGGAGACATCGACAATGCCTTCTACCGGCTGCTGATGCCCGAGGGCTCGTGCAGCTACTTCAGGCTTCCGCCGATCGACAGGCGGCACCTGG